AGAGCTTTGGCTAATCGGGGTTTTTTGTGATTCCATATGAATTTCATCAATAATTGTTCTATTTCTTTGAAGAATGACATTGAAATTTTGATTGGAATAGCATTGAATCTGTATATTGCTTTTGGAAGGATGGCCATTTTAATAATGTTTATTCTTCCAATCCATGAGCAGGGGATATCTCTCCATTTCTTTGTGTCTTCTTCTATTTCTTTTAACAGTGTTTTATAGTTTTCTTTGTATAGGTCCTTTACCTCTTTTGTTAGATTTATTCCCAAATATTTGATTTTTTTTGTTTCAATAACGAAAGGGATGGTTTTTTTGATTTCTTCTTCTTCAGATTTATTGTTTGTGTATAGGAAGGCTACTGACTTTTGCGTGTTGATTTTGTATCCTGCCACTTTACTGAACTGATTGATGAGTTGAATTAGCTTTTGTGGAGTTTTTGGGGTTCTCTATGTATAATATCATATCGTCTGCAAATAGTGATAGTTTGACTTCTTCTTTTCCTATTTGGATTCCTTGGATGTCTTTCTCTTGTCTTATTGCCCTGGCTAGGACTTCCAGTATTATATTGAAAAGCAGTGGTGAGAGTGGACATCCTTGTCTTGTTCCAGATCTTAATGGAATTGCTTTCAGCTTAAAGCTTCATTTTTAAATGCATATAGATTTAGTGTGATAGCTTCATGAAGAATTTATTCTAGTATTTTATGATCATTTTAAGTCTGGGCAATTGTCTTTACCCAAAGTCTGTTTTGTCTGGATTATTAACATAGCCATATGAAGTATTTTATGTGATTTCTTTTCAAACTACCTGTGTCTTTGTAAAATCTCTTGCAAATCATATGGAGTTGATTCTTCATTTTTAAAATCCAGTTTGACAGTCTCTCTTAATTGAGATGTTTATTTATAACTTGTGTAATTATTATTGATAATGGAGTTGTCTTCTGACTTTTGTTGTTTCCAAAAGTCAACATTCTTACTGCTTCCCATTGTGGAATGTATGTATTTTCTCTGTTTAAAAGATTTTTCTCTTGATTTTTAACAGTTTGAGTATGAAGTGCTTATGTATAATTTTATTTGTCTTTTCTATTTGATATCATTGAGATTTTTTGGATCTATCAGCAATTTTGGAAAATATTTTTGGTGTGTGTCATCAAGTATTTTCTTTTTCCTGCCTGTTTTCTCTCTATTTGGTCTGGGTGTTCATTTACAACTGTGTTATTGAGGTTCTATTGATTTTTTTCCCTTCATGTTTCCCCTCTTTGTGCTTTAGTTTGTTAATTTGAACACCCAGGTGGTCTTTATGGGTTTATTTCTATTAATTTATATGTTTCTAAAAACTGATTTTTTTCTTTACATTACATTATGTTTATTTACATATCAAGTAGTTTTTTTAAATTGTGTAGTGCACAGTGATTGATACTTTGTAGAGACTCTAGTTTCTGTTAATTTCCATTGTAGAGAAAACAGACAAAACACTGCCAAATTACCTTAATACATAATAGATGCTTGGTTTAGGCTTTGTTAGGAAGTTCTATTTTGCTTTTGTCCTTTGTTCTAGGGAAAATCTTGTAGACCTTAAATATGACTTTATTCCTAAAGGATGATCCTTTTGAGGTTTCAGAGGAATGCTTGAGAGGTACTTGCTAAGACCCCTCCAATTCAGGGGAACTCAAACTACAAACTCTTCCCCGTGGTAACCATGGACAGAAATTTCTCCTCAGATTTCTTCTAGCCATTTTTCTTCCGTTTCTTTGTATCTCCCTCAACAGAGCATATATTTATTTTAGTTATAGATTTTAGGTTTTAATAAGGAATCAGCCAAGGATTTGAGGATAATATAGCAGACTTTTTGAGGTTCTCTGTGACTCCCTATTTTCTGGGATCCTCCCTTATTTATTTTTTTTAAAGATTTATTTATTTATTTATATATACAAGCACTGGGTACAGTCAGAAGAGCAGGAGGGTGAGAGAATTCACCAGAGCCAGAGCAGGGAGCAGAGCAGGCAGAAGGACCAAAGTACACTGCTGAGGGGAGCAGCGGGTGGCAGGAGAGGTCTGCACGCCATGTGGGACCCGCTTCTGGTGGCCGGGGAGCAGCCGGGGATTGAACCGGTGCTGCACAGTCTGTGGGCAGCTTCGCAACCCAGCGCTCAACTGCTGCGCCACCGGGGAGGCCCTCCTCCCTTAGTTTTTAACCATATGGCATACTCCTATTCAGTTCTTTGACTCTTTTGCCAGTACTTTTATGACTTTCTGCTTGCGTGCTCTGCTTAATGCCATTTGGACTGTGGGATGTGTTCAGAGGAAAAACCAGATAAATTACACCTTATTCAGTATGTTTCCTTTCTTTGAAGGGTTGAATTCCTTGTTTCCTTTTATATTTTGTCCAGAATTTATCATTCTCACCAGTAGCAAGATTAACCTGATACAAAGTAATCGTCATTATTAGAAGCTTGTGCCTTCCTAAAATCTCAAGTAATGTTATGATAAAATATGCCAAGAATGCACCCTGTTGGTTTTTTTTTTTTTGCCTTTATCATTGGTCCCATAAAACTGAAATAATACCGTATTAAGTACTTTTATTTATACGTTATGTCCCATGAAATTATCATCAGATAATCAGAACTTTGTATAGCTTTGCAATTAATTGCTACAGAATTAGAAAACATTCCACCCTAAAGTTACCGAAAGTGTTAATGTGCACATCAGTAACCCCCCCCTCTTTTTTTGTTGCTGTTCAACAGGCATCTTTATGTCACTGAACATGTGTCAGATACTGGTCAAAGCATTTTGCATGTATTACCTCCTTTAATCCCCATTATCAACCCAGATGAGGAAACTGAAGCACAGAAAGATTAAGCTGAGAAGTAATGGAGCCATGTTTTGAACCCAGGCATTTTGACTATTAGAACTTGTCCTTTTAACCACTATGCTATCCTCCCTTTCATGCTCTGTGCTGTTTGTACTAGTTATGATCTATACTTCCTTAATATTTGAAATTTTTTTTAGTTTTTCAATACCTATCCTATTGGCTTATAATCTACTTTTTTTTTAAAAGATTTATTTATTTATACAAGCACTGGGTACAGTCAGAAGCGCGGGAGGGTGAGAGAACTCCTCACCAGCGCCAGGGTGGGGAACAAAACAGGCAGACCGATGAAGTATACTGCTGAGGGGAGCAGCGGGCGTGTTAGGAGAGGTCTGTGTGCCATGTGGGACCCTGGCCAGCAGCCAGGGATCGAACCAGCGCTGCAGAGGCTGCAGGCAGCTTTGCAGCCCAGTGCTCAACCGCTGAGCCAACGTGGAGGCCCGGTTTATAACCTACTTTGAAAAAGGAACCACATGATATATTACATAATATATACAAAGGAACCCACTACTGTGCCAGATACTCAGAAAAGACTCAAATATAACTTACCCTATAAATCTCCCCTATTAATCCTCGACAGTATTAATCATTATTTTCTTTGCTACTCAAACATAGTTTTTACATTTCTATTGAGTGGCTATTTCTTCTGCCTTGTATTGCATTAGTAGTTTATAGGCTTGATCTACTTTCTTATTAGGTTGTAAGTTCATCAAGGATGATGCTCATGCTTTCATCAGATTTTTAGACATTCTACCCTGGCATCAAACCCATATTAATTATGATGGACATGTTATTCTAAAACTGTGATGGTAAGATTACAATTCTATTTGCCAGATGAAGAATCTTTGCATAGGCATATAGGTATACATTTGTTTACAGTAGGAATATCTTAAATTTGTGTATTATTTTTAATGTTTCAGAGTTCTTTCATATCTGCTATTCTTCTTAGCTTTGTAGAAAAAATATCTTGAGCTTTCACTTGTTCATTCATTCAGTAAATATCTTCTGAGATCTACTGTGTTTCCACTACTGCTCTAGTTGCTTAGTGTTTAGCAATGAACAAAACAAACACCTGACTTTTATGTAGAATTCATTCTTGTGAAAAGAATAAAAATAAATAATAAAATAAAATAATAACTTTAATAAAATAAATTTAAATCATAAAAATACTGTGTCAAGTGTAAATGAAGAAAAATAACATAGGGCAAAGAGAATTGAGAGAGATACATTAGCGTGATCTAGGAAGACTCTAAGAAGAAATAGCATGTGGGTAGAGACCTGAGTGCGGTTAAGGAGTAAACTTGCAAAATACCTGGGATTTAGAAAAGTTGAAACAGATTGAAACAGGATATATATCACTGCCCTTATTTTATATATGAAGAAACTGAGGTGTAGATGAAGAGTTTTGATAAGCTTTGGGCTGGAATTCTGCCTCGGATTTATTTCATCATGTTGTTATTAATTTTACTTGCCTAATGGTAAGTAAGTCCTGTTCATTTTAAAATCCTTTCCAAAGAATAGACTGAACAAGGAATATTTTAAGACTCCTTGAGATTTTATATATATCTAGGATTGTAATGGTCAAAGAACCTAGTGCCTTGTAGATATTCATTGCTAGGTTAAGTTAAAAGAAGATTCAATTTTATTTTCAACCTTGATATTATAAGAGCATTTATCTGTATTTGTAGCTCAGATAAATTGCATGAACTGAAATTGTAGTTTATCTTTCAGAAAGTCATGTTTAAGACTAGTAACATGAGGTTTGGATTCTAGGTCTGCCCCTTACTCTCTGTGTAACTTTGAATAATTCATTCTACGCTTTTCAGCCTTAGATTTGCCATGTGTGAAATGGGACTAATATCTATTCATCTCATGTAATTTGTGATGATGACATGATATTTTGTATGTTTAACAGTGGTGGTGTACAATGGCATGCAATAAAAGTTTATGGAGTCAGAATCTCAATAAAGCCACCATGAAATGTTCACAAAGTTGAGAGAAATTTATAGTAGAGGAGGTTTTTCAGAAAATTTTATGCCTAAACACATGCTGATTTTCTCAAAATGTCTGTATTAATATACATGTTCCAAAGAAAATGTTAAGATAAATGTTATTCTTTACTTCACAGGTATTGGTTTGCCTTGAAAAAGGGTTATCGCGTGGCTTTCAAAGATAGCAGCAAAGATAATACATTCACAGATGAACACAATGAAGTTATAGATAGAGTGACTGATTTGAGCTCGCTCAGGCTGTTTGAGACCTACTTGGAAGGCTGCCCGCAACTTGTTCTTCAGCTTTACATCTTTCTGGAACATGGTGAAATATATTTCCGTCAATGTAAGTCTTTGCTAACGCACTGTGTTAGTTGGATAGCACCGAGATGTCAACTACATATCTCTTTGACAGCCTTTAGAATATTGTAAAACTTTTTTTTAAAGATTTATTTATTTATTTATTTATACAAGAACTGGGGTACAGGCCGGAAGCTCAGGAGGGTGAGAGGATTCACCAGAGACAAAGCCGGAAACAGAACAGGCAGACTGATGAAATACACTGCTGAGGGGAGCAGTGGGTGACACAGGAGAGGTCTGTTTTGCCATGTGGGACCCTCGCTGGCCGGGATCGAACCCGCGCTGTAGAGGCTGCGAACAGCTTCACAGTGCGGCGCTCAACCACCTGCACCACCAGGGGAGGCCCTGTAAAACATTTTTTTCTAGAATTATTTATTTTTTGAAAATTATGTGTTTCAAACATCAAAAGCATAGCTGTTGTCTTCCGCCCTTCCTCTTCTTATGCCTTCCTTTATCTGCCCAGAAAGGAAAATGTTACTGTTAGTTTTTTGAGAATTGTTTTGAAAGCTTATTCTTTTTCTCATTTATAGAAATGGTAACGTAAAACAAAAATTCTCTTTGTATTTTGCACTTAACAGTATATCTTGGCTATCCATATTAGTACAGAAAGCTCCCTCATTCGCTTTTATTATATGCAGAGCATTATAAATTGTGGATGTACCATGATTTATTTATGTCATTTTTAATATTTAACTATTGCAAAAAATACTTAACAAATAATCTTATGCATGAAACTTTTTGTATCTGTGGTGAATATCTATATATATTTCCAGAATTGGAATTACTGGTTGAAAGTGCAAATGCTACAAAACTAATGAAAGTGTTGCAAGTTGGCATATATGTTTGCTCTTTTATAGCACATTTCTTTCTTATGTTGAAGTGTTCATTTTTTAAAGGAGTTTAGTATTTCCTTTGAAAAATCTTTTAGTAGGTGTTTAATTTGATATGCTAAAAAAACTATTTGCTAGATAATAGACCCAATTTTCATTAATGAATAGGGTTTCATGCAGACATGGATTTATTTGTTGTCAGAAAAGTGAGGGCATATTTTCTTTTGAAAAACAAAAGGAAAAAATGCGTCCTGACTTTTCTGACAACCCAGTATCCATAGGAATAGATAGTCATCTTCCCTGGACTTCCCTCTATATGCAACTCACCTGTGAGACTAGATCATTTCCCCCAAGTCTTCCTGTACCCAATATATCATAAATCTCTATTAGGATTTTTATGTTTATTGTTAGTAAGACACAGAAATGAAACTACTGTGTGAGCAACCTCTTTTTCTTGTGATACGAAGAATACATGAGTTGAGACTTCAGTATTCTATATTATGTAGTTTCTAAATCTAGAAGTTCAATGTTTTGAGCTTACAACCTATATTATGGTAAATTTGCTGATAATTTCAAATAATTCATAGCATATGGACCAGGCATGGGATCCAGTGACAGGTATTTTTATTATGGTTCTGTCCACACATTTTAGTTTCTTCTTGAAGTAAGAAGTTGAGGTATAAGTTAAAAACAGCAAAATATGAGAAATAATCTGATTGTCAATAGAAGATATGGTAAATAAGTTATAGTCTGTTAGTATAAAAATTATGTAGCCACTAGAAATGATATTTACAGAGAACTTTATTTTATATAATTCTTACATCGTTTTTCATTTTTGCACATTTTCACTTTGGTTATATTCCCTGTACAATTCCCACCCCCCTTATTTTGGCCCTAGTTCCCCCACCCCTTAGTGTGTGTCTGGTTTATAGTTGCTTGTTGGTTCCTTATTTAGGTTTTCTAAATTCGTGCTATGAGTGAGACCAACCAATATCTTTCTTTTTCTTTCTGGCTTATTTCGCTGAGCATGATTCCTTCCAGCTCCACCCATGTTGCTGCAAATTGCATGTATTTATCTTTTTTGATTGCTGAGTAATATTCTATTGTGTATATGTGCCACATATTCTTGATCCAGTCATCTATTTTTGGGCTTTTGGGTTGTTTCCATAGCTTAGCTATTGTAAATAGTGCTGCTATAAACATAATGGAAAAATATTTCCAAAATGAAATTTATACAAAAGCAGTTTATAAAATTTTCTATCAGGGCCTCCCTGGAGGCGCAGGCAGTTGAGCGCCACACTGTGAAGCTTTCAGCAGCCTCTGCAGTGCGGGTTCGATCCTGGCCAGGCGGGAAGAATCCCACATGGCGCAGCAGACCTCTCCTGTGTTGCCTGCTGTTCCCCTCAGCAGTGTATTTCATAATAAAGATTTATTTATTTATACAAGAACTGGGGTACAGGCCAGATGCGCAGGAGGGTGAGGGGATTCACCAGAGACAGAGCAGGGAAGAGAACAGGCAGACTGATGAAATACACTGCTGAGGGGAGCAGCGGGCAAGGCAGGAGAGGTCTGCCGAGGCATGTGGGACCCTTGCCTGCTGGCTGGGATCAAAATAGACAGCTTCACAGTGCTGCGTTCAAGCACCTGCACCACAAGGGGAGGCCCTAAATAAATAAATCTTTAAAAAAATTTTTTTCTATCAGAATAATTTTAGGGATACAAATTAATTATTATATAGGAAATGTCTGGAAGAAAATATGCAAAAGAAAGTGAGGGGCTGACAGGCCTCCCAGCCCCCGCTAAGTCTTCACTCTATCTGGGCTCTCTGGCCTTCTCTCGTGTTCTTTCTGCTTCTCTGCTCTCCTGCTTCCATTCGTTCTTGGCTTCTGCTGGCATCCCCATGATGCCGCCCTTATAAATTCAGTCTCTCAGCCCATGGGAAAGTCTACATTTGCATAGTAATGAGAAAGAGAGAGAGAGAGAGAATGCACGAATGTGCGCACAGTTCTATCAGATTGGTTATATAAGGATAGAACTTCTAGCAGATTGGGCCTCAATCATATGACTTTGTTTAACCTTAATTGCTTCCTTAAAGGCCCTATTTCAGAATAAAGCTACATTAGGGGTTAAGGATTCAACTTATGAATTTTGCATATTCTCTGATTTGATTTTTTTTTGATTATTATCAAATTTGGGGAAAACTCTACAAATTTCTTTAATAATGTCCTGTAATATCAGAGTTTGAATTTTGTTGTGAAATAACTAATTTTAAATATCATTTGAATGGACAACTGTAAAGGCAGGAATGGACACGGGGCAGGTTTTCTGATCCCATGCAGACCGGGTAAAGGAGGAGTCAGAGTCCTCAGTGGTTTTGCAGGTCTTTTATTGGGGTTCACCAGGCATATGGCAGGCAGGGGTGCTGGCTGGGGGGCTGGGAGGCGGGCAGGCCTCCCAGCCCCCAGCAAGTCTTCACTCTATCTGGGCTCTCTGGAGTTCGTTCTGCTTCTCGGTTTCTCTTTCGGCTTCTGCTTCGGCTTCTACTGCTGCTCCTGCTGCTGCTGGCGTCTCCGTGATGCCGCCCTTAAAAAGCACAGTCTTAACTCAGCTGAATCCCATCTACCTATGCCCACACCCTATTCCAGGTGCCCGCCATCAGGCATGTATTCAGGACAAGGATCCATCATCTATCCTGATGGCGGAAGGGCAGAAAAGCCTGATATTTTCTTTACCCTACAGTCCACCCCCTCAGGGTTTTCTGCCATACAGTCTATACATATATATACAATTTTCTAAGCAAACAAACAATGCAGCCATGGCCCACAAAAGCAAATACATCAAATATAACAAAATACAACAGAACACAAATAAGTCCAGGCAGGGCCCCAACCTAGTGCAAAAGACAATTATTGGTACCAGCAGATGAGCCACCAAATCTGCTGCCGAAGGCACTGCTCATACGAGGGAGGGGAATCACTCACGGCATCTATTGCAACACGCCAGGAGCCGTCAGGCTTCCTGGCCTTCTCTGGCTGTAGTCTCGACTACAAGCCACACACAGCATCCACCCCCAGGATGCGCTAGCTCTGGGATTGGCAATTTTATTCCGTTGGGGGTAATCGCCAACCCTCAGGGTTTCTGTCTGCAGTCGCTCCAACACTCGGCCTTCATAACCACCAATACGACTCACAGACCCCTGCACTCAAGCCAACCCACTGCACAAGCACATGGGTTGGGGATCCAAACTCTGCATTCGGCTTGGGCTCCACCCCAAGCCACGTTCCCCACCCGTCCCCCAAGGACAGGTTCCTCAGCTTCTCACCCTTACTCAAGAATGAGCAGGGCATCACCCACAGGTGATTTTATGAGACTCACAGGGCTTCAGCATACCCAGGCTGCTTAAAAGCCGCTTAGGGCTTCTCAACTTAGCATCAGTACCAGCTTTTGCCTTCTTAGTTGGCTTTTCTCCTCCACCTGGCTGCTGGGCATGTACAGGCTGCTTTTGGCCATCAAGGCCCACTGGCCACCCCCAGATTCTCAAAAAAAAAAAAAAAACCCATAACCTGCCAAGGTCCTCCGCCTTCTGGCGGGATTGTCAGTCCATCAGTTCAAGTCCATTGGCCTCTCCCTGCTTCAGCAACGGCCTGCTGCCTCAGGGGTCATTGGCTGGTCCTTTCCGGTGTCATTGGCTGGTCCTTTCTGGTGTCGTTGGCTGGTCCTCTTGGGCGTCTGCTTCACGCCAGGTCTCATCCTGTAGCTCATGGACGTTGTCCACCTTCTGTGCCGCCATGGCGCCTCCAGCGTCATCACAGGCAAACAGTCTGTTCTTAGTCCCTCCAGGTCTTCGGAAGGCTCCAATACCCGTCTGCATGGATCTTGCCGACTTACGCCAATTGTAAAGGGCAGGACTGGACACAGTGCAGGTTTTCTGATCCCATGCAGACCGGGTAAAGGAGGAGTCAGAGTCCTCAGTGGTTTTGCAGGTCTTTTATTGGGGTTCACCAGGCATATGGCAGGCAGGGGTGCTGGCTGGGGGGCTGGGAGGCCTGCCAGCTTCCCAGCCCCCAGCAAGTCTTCACTCTATCTGGGCTCTCTGGAGTTCATTCTGCTGTTTCTCTGCTTCTCTTTCGGCTTCTGCTTCGGCTTCTACTGCTGCTCCTGCTGCTGCTGTTGGCGTCCCCGTGACGCCGCCCTTAAAAAAAGCACAGTCTTAACTCAGCTGAATCCCATCTACCTATGCCCACACCCTATTCCAGGTGCCCGCCATCAGGCATGTATTCAGGACAAGGATCCATCATCTATCCTGATGGCGGAAGGGCAGAAAAGCCTGATATTTTCTTTACCCTACAACAACACTAAACTATTTTGTGTCATTTAATGACTTTGGGAGTGTAAGGGCAGGAAGGGGCACTGAGCAAGTTTTCTGATCCAGCAGACCGGGTAAAGGAGGACTCCTGGAGCCCTCAGTGGCTTTTGCAGGCTTTTATTAGGATTTACCAGGCACTCAGTAGGCAGCAGTGCCAGGGGCCCGGGAGGTTGGCAGGCCTCCCAGCCCCCACCAAGTCTTCACTCTATCTGGGCTCTCCGGCCTTCTCTCGTGTTCTCTCTGCTTCTCTGTTCTCCTGCTTCCGTTCGTTCTTGGCTTCTGCTGGTGTCCCCGTGATACCGCCCTTATAAATTCAGTCTCTCAGCCCAGGTATATCCACTTCAGGTGCCCGCCATCAGGCATGCGTTCAGGACCACAGGGTTCCATTATCTATCTTAATGGCGGGAGGGCAGAAAAGACTGATACTTTTACCTTATTCTACAGGGAGTCTTATGTTTTCTTCACTGGTATCGGTAATGTACAATCAGAAGTAAATTAATAAGAATTGATGTAGATGTGATTAGGCAACGCCCTTTTAGACTGAGAGAAATGCATAAGCCAAGGCATGGTTTGGCAAAGACAAGAAATTCAATTTGGATAAGGTGTTACATATAGGATAGGGTAGCAAAATGATAAAAAAAAAATATATTGGAAGTAAGTAGGTAAGTGAGAAATGGGAAATAATGTCAAAGTATAGTGTCAGTTGGATGAGGAGAAACAATCATGCCTTAATGTTAAGTAGTCCAAGACCTATTGGTGGCAATATGGCGAAGTGTTAACATCAGCCACCTGCTTGAGAATCTAGCTCTGTTACTTACTAATCTTAGTTATTTAAATTAAATGTATTCACTGTTCAGTTTCCTAAAGCCAGATAACCAAAATGACCACAGCCACTTTAACACACTAAGGGAAAAAGTGAGAGAATAGAGATAGGAAATTTAATGAATGCAATTAAAATCTTTAATTTTTTCAAATATTTAGAAATATATGACAAGGTGAACAAACATATTGCTTATGATTAACCAGGCTGTAAGGAGGCTGGGCCAGTGTTGTTTCCTAAAATTTAAACTTCACTACCTTTATGATAAAATCCACCTCTCTGGTAACAATATTTATTAACTTTAAACTTTGATATGTTTAATATACATGTGATTTCTGGGAAAATTACCAAAGAATAAAACCAGCTTGTCACTAAAGAACATGGACTATTAAATAGAAAAGCCCATCATTACAACATTTCAGAAAAGTAAAGATAAAGTGGCTAGAAGATTTGAGAGAAAAAAGATCACTTTTTTTAGGTTAAAGAAACTGAATGACATTGATATTCTTAACCATAGCATGTGAAATTAGACTATAATAATGACTTTAAAGTTTTAATGAAAACCGTAAATTTTTAAATTGTAATAGCATTATATAACTTTTAGGTGTACAATATTATAAATCAACAATCTATATATATTACATTTTTTTCACCACTGAAAGTCTGGAATGGAATACGTTTTTTAACTTTGAACTTATTTCTAGCAAAACTATATATCAAATCTGAGGGTAGAATAAAGATATCTTGAGACATACAGGATCTCAAAATATTTAGTTAGATGTAACTTTTCTCAGGAGTGCCTAGAGACTGCTTGGTCAGAGCATGAGAATAAAGCAAGAAAGAAATATAAGGACAGGAAATAGGAAGTCAATACCATAGGTAGGTGCAGGGCGGTTCTGAGAAATTAGCAAACAAACTTTGAGAACAACCACTGTATTGAAGGAGTATCATATTATTTTTTTAAGTAACATTGTATTATAACAATTTGGTACAGATTGTAACAAATTTTAGACTAACATCTGTTTCACCATTAAAAGTCCACTTCCAGGAGAATCTTTAAAACTAATAGGAGTACCTGGAGTTTTATTCATTAATTTGGAGATTTTGCAAAGCAATAGTGATAGGCTCATGAAAAACTAAGCAAATAAGGAAACAACAAAAAGTTTTAAAAGAAAGAAAATATGATCAGAGTATAATACTTGGTTGAGCAATTAAAAAAATGCTGTACTTTATAAGGTAAATAGTAAATACTGATTTTGCCAAAAATTGTGGTTTTATTCTTTTAGGCAGATGGACAGAGAGGAAAATGGAAGCAGGGTATTTATATATATGTGTATGTGCTAAATTATCCTCTTTCCAAATGCAAATTCAATAATTAGTCTTTAAAGTAAATAAATTAAGAAGTAGCACAATATATGTATTTTTATAAGTATGGCAATAAATATTAGAGGAAAAGCTAGAAGAAATGATTTCTTCTGGGAGTTGTGACTGAAGTGAGGCAGGTGGAACAAGATGCTACTGTTTTTCTTATAAGTTCTGCGATACATATTAACTTTTAAAAAATGATGTACATATATTAGTTAAAACCAACAAGGCAATTTAGGAGAAAGCAATGTTATAATTCAAATATTTTTGAGCTAAAGAAGAAAGAAAAGAAGTCAGCTAGGGCCTCCCCAGTGGCGCAGTGGTTGAGCGCTGGGTTGCGAAGCTGCCCGCGGCCTCTGCGGCGCTGGTTTGATCCCCAGCCACCGGAGGAGGGTCCCACATGGCGTGCAGACCTCTCCTGCCGCCCACTGCTCCCCTCAGCAGTGTACTTCAGTCCTTCTGCCTGCTCTGCTCCCCGCTCTGGCTCTAGTGAATTCTCTCACCCTCCCACGCTTCTGACTGTACCCAGTGCATGTATAAACAAAACAAACAAACAAATAAATAAAACATGCCTCTATTAAAAAAAAAAAAAGAAAAGAAGTCAGCTAATTGTGTTACCCAGAGTAGTATAGAAATACCAATAGCAATAAAACCAGGAGACTAAATAATGGCATTTATAATCTTCATAATCTTATTTAATAGGTAATCCATTTTAAGTCTGCCTTTCTTTCATAATAAATAGGTATCCAAATGAGGCTAAATGGTAATGACTAACATTCTTCATTCTGTTCTAAATTATTTCTAATTCTTCCAATTATTTTTAGTTTTATAAAGTACCCCAGTTTTGACACTGGGGCTAATAATGACATCCCTTTGAAAAGTAGTAATGAACTTAATTTTCTCTTCTGCTAATTATGCAAATATTGAGCAGAGATGTCAAGTCAATAGACGTTTGTTTTAGGATGTGTTTGTCCATTTGATTCATCATCCCAAAGATATGGGAAATTGAACTTGCGATACCTTATACTTAAGTTAAATTTTCTGTTTAACCTCCCTTCTTCCTCTACCTCTCCCTTCTTTCCCACCTTTCTCTTTCACATGCTCTCTTTGTGATTTAGATTCATGCCCAAGGGCAAAGCTAAAGACTGGAAAAGCTTGGATTCTACCCCTAGTCTCCTAAAGAACTTCTGGAGAATGCAGTTTCTATATGCCAGTTGCTCAACAAATTTGTTCAATGAATTGATGCAAAATTCTATAAAGCAGTTCAATATATTGTTAAGTACACCATATTTGGAGTTAGGGAGATTTAGGTTCAACTCTCTACAACTTGCTCGCTGTGTCAAGCTAAGCATCAGCTGCTTCATATTTAATATGGGAGCATTATTATCTATCTCAAAGGACTAGATACAATGAGTATATAAAGTACCTGACTTGTATTTGTGTGTATATACAGATGAAACATGTATGACATATAGTAATTTAATGTTGCTATTATTCCTATAACGTACTTTTTACAATTTTTTGTTTTGTAGATGCAGCCATCCTGATTTCTTGCCTTGCTATTTCTTTGTCAACTCTTGATTTTCAAATAGCTTTGAGAAAATCCTTGCCTGATAAAAGTCGCCTCAGTGCATGCTATTCCATATTCTCATATCTCTTTTACAAGTTGTTTACATTATCATCTTGGATGCTGAGTATTGTTTTTCTTTTATTCTTAAATGTTAAAATTGCTTTATCTCTGTTGTTTTTTCTTTGGTTGTTAGGTATACTGTGGGCATGTAAAATACAAACTAAGTTTTGTGCTTCCAAAAGTATGGAATGCTTGTACAGAATTGTTGCTGGATTCATTCTTATCTTTACATTTTTTAATATTAAGGGACAAAATACCAAATGTCCAATGTCTTGTTATTATATTGTAAGGGTGCTAGCCACAGTGGGGATCTTGATTGTGTTCTGGTTTTTCCCACTCTCTATTTTTAATTCAGATTATTTTATAGCTATCAGTATAACTATAGTTCTTAGTCTTCTCTTTGGAATCATTTTTCTTATTGTTTATTATGGAGCTTTGCACCCAAACAGGGAAGAAAAAAATTTTGATGAAGTTGATGGAAACCCAGTACAAAAAACTGTAGAGTGAAATTTTTCCTAATGGAATAAGCTATTGATTTATGAGATTTTTTTATTTTTGTTTAATATTTAATAAAGAAAATGTGCATATGTATGTTGTTTCTTATTTCTGCCTTCTTAGATTTGAGCTCAGTTCTGGTATATTAATTATGAATATAGCATGATGATATTTTTAATAAATTAATTTCTCACTGGATTTTGATGATCTTGGGAATTATGCCTACTGCTTGGGTAGAGTTGCCATGTTGACTTTGACTTGTCAGAAATAGTTTGGTCCCCATAATTAGAAAGCTGGAAATGAGCTTCCCTCCATCTGTTTCCTCATTTTTCTTTTTTTTTTTTTATTTATATAAACACTGGGTACAGTCAGAAGCACGGGAGGGTGAGAGAATTCACCAGAGCCAGAGCGGGGAGAAGAACAGGCAGACTGACGAAGTACACTGCTGAGGGAAGCAGCAGGCGTGGCAGGAGAGGTCTGTGCGCCATGTGGGACCCTTGCTGGCGGTCGGGGATCGAACCACTGCAGAGGCTGCAGGCAGCTTTGCAGCCCAGCGCTCAACCGCTGGGGAGGCCCTGTTTCCTCATTTTTCTTAAACTAAAACTATTGTGGAGAAACACATAGGGAAAAGAAGAGCAGAACACTCATTCTTATTTCCTCTATTTTCTTGATTCAGTTACATATATTTTGAGTTGGAGGCAGATAGACATCAACAAAAACAAAGATAAGAGCCATGTAATTATATCAATAGATACCAGGAAAGCATTTGACAAGATCCAAATATACATTTATATTAAAAACCCTTGAAAAAATGGGGATAAATGGAACATACTTAATATGATAAAAGCCATTTACAACAAATCCACAGCTAATATTCTCAATGGTGAAAAAACTTTTCCATTAAAATCTGGTACAAGGCAAGAATGTCCACTCTCACCATTGCTATTCAACATAGTATTGGAAATTCTAGCTGGAGCAATTAGACAAGAGAAAACTATAATAGGAATCCAAATTGTGAAAGAAGAAGTAAAGCTATCATTATTTGCAGATGACATGGTAATATACATCGAGAACCCTCAAGATCCCATGGAAAAAAATGGAAACAAACAGTTTAGCAAAGTGGAAGAATATAAATAACACACAGGGCCTCCGTATGGCTTAGGTGTTAAGTCTCAGTGCTATCACTGCTGCAACCTGGGTTCGATCCCTGGCCAGGGGGCTAACACACATATGGTGCAGTAGACCTCTCCTGTCTTGTCCGCTGCTCCCCTTAGAGGTGTATTTCAGCAAAGCATGTGTTCTGCTCTCCATTCTGTCTCTGGTGAATCTTCTCACACCCCTGTGGCCCCCATGCCTCTGGCCTATACCCCAGTTCTATGCAAAAAAAAAAAAAAACCCAAAATATTCTCCACATAAATCAGTTTCTGTCCTATACACAAACAATGAGATAGAATGGCAAGAAATTAAGAAAGGGATCCCATTTACACCTACACCAATATGTGTGTATATAGATAGATAGATAGATAGATAGATATCTAGTTGTAAATCTAACAAAAGAGGTAAAAGAATTATACAAAGAAAATTACAAAACATTGTTGAAAGAGAGACACAAAGAAATTGAAAAATATTCCCTGCTCATGGATTGGAAGAATCAAAACATTGTCAAAATGTCCATCCTAGCCACCTCAACATATGCAATCTCAATAAAAATATCAATGGTATATTTCAAAGAACTGGAGCAAATGCTACTGAAATTCATATGGAATCATAAAAGTAATCTTGACAAAGAAGAAAGAATGGAGGTACCACATTGCCAGATGTCAAGCTATAGTATAAAGCTACAATAATTAAAACAGCCTGGTACTAGAACAAAAACAGACACAGAGACCAATGGAATAGAACTGAGAGACCAGAAATAAACCCATATATATATGAACACTGAATCTATGACAAAGAAACCAAAAAAACATACACTGGAATAACGATATCCTCTTCAACAGATGGTGCTGGGAAAACAAGACAGCTGAATGATAAAGAATGAAACTAGACCATGATCTCAAACCATACACCAAAATCATCTTAAAATGGATCAAAGATGGATGTAAAACCTGAAACCATAAAATATACATAGAAGAAAACATAGGAAAAACATTTCATGACATAAACCTTAGATTCCCTGAGCAATTTGTCCCCAACAGCGAGGAAAATAAAAGAACATAAACATCTGGGACTATATCAAATGGAATATCTTCTGTAGAGTGAAAGAAATCATAAATAAAATGAAAAGACATTGAATGGAAAAATATTTGCACATCATGTAGCTGACAAAGGCCTGATATCAAGGATATACAAAGAACTCATAAAACTCTACAAAGCAAAACAACCCAGTCAAAACCTGGGCAAAAGAAGCAAACAGATACTTCTCCAAAGAAGACATTCAAATGCCAGCAGGAACATGAAAAAATGTTCACAATCACTTTTTATTTGAGAAATGCAAATCAAGACCATAGTGAGATACCATCTCACACTCTGAGACTGACCCATATTAGAAAGATCAGGAACAACAGTGCTGGTGAGGATGTGGAGAAAAGGGAAGCCTCTTGCACTGCTGGTGGGAATGCAAATTTGTCCAGCCTTTATGGAAAGCAGTATGGAGGTGCCTGAAAACATTAAACATGGATCTGCTGTTTGACCCAGTAATTCCAATCCTAGGCATCTATCCAAAAAACTGAAAAAACAAAAATTAGAAAGGGAACTTGCACTCCCATGTTTATTGCAGCACTATTTACTATAGCTAAATTATGGAAACAATCTAAGTGCCAGGCAGAGGAATGGATCAAGAAGATGTATATATACAAAATGGAATACTACTCAGTGATCAAAAAAGATAAACTCATGTCATTTGTGGCAACATGAATGGAGCTGGAAAGGATAATTCTAAGTGAAAGAAATCAGAAGGAAAAAGATAAATACTGGGTGGTGTCACTAATATGTAGAACATAAATTAACTAATATGTGTCACTAATATGTAGAACATAAATTAATAGTCACAGAAAGACAAGCTGAAAAACTATCCCTTCATAGCTGACTGCAGAACCGAAGCACTGAAAGAGGGAGATGGGGGAGGAATAAGAGCAAAGAGGGAAGGAAGCACAATGGTCTATGGTGGTAGAATATGGGTGAGTTGGTAATGGGTGCACTATGGTAATAATACATTATGGGGTTATCCTAATAGCATCTCAGTTAAAAATAAATTTATTACAAGTGCCTCCCCCGCAACAAATGAGTAAATGTTAACCATTAGCTCTATTTGTCTAGTATTCTGCTAGGTACTGTTGTGAACACAAGACAAGTATAGAAGAGAGTTCTGTCCCTTGTTGAAGAGATACTCCTTTCTCTATTGTTTTGTTGTGGTTTCCGTTGTCAAAGACTAATTGTCTGTAATTGTGTGGGTTTGTTTCTGGGCTTTCTATTTTATTTCATTGTTCTGTGTTTCTGATTTTGTTCTAGTGCCATATACTGCTTTGATTATTGTTGCTGTGCAGTATAGTTTGAGGTCAAAGAATGTGATACCTCCATTTTTCTTCTTTTCTCTCAGGATATCCTTGGCTATTTGGGATCTTTTGTGGTTCCATATAAATTTTGTAAATGTTCTATTTTCTGAAAAAGTGATTAGGATTTTGATAGGTATGCCATCTTTAAATTGAATCTTTAAATTGCTTTATGTAGCTATGTGGAGGGTCCTCAAACTACTGAAAATGGAGCTTCCATATTACCCAGCAATTTCACTCCTAGGAATCTACCCAAAGGTCACATAGCTAATGAATTTACTTTTATTCATTTTATCTTACTGTTTTCTACTTCATTTTGTTATGAATTTATAGCACTTTGAAATCTCCCTAATGAATTTTAAGCTTTTTATCAATTATTTTGTGCTTATAAAAATTCTTTTGAAATTTAGAAAAGGCATAGAAATAATTATGAGCAATATTGTTATGAAAGAACACTCATATGCACTGTAGTAGTCATGGTTCTCCAGAGAAACAGAAGCAATAAGATCTCTCTCTCTCTCTTTTTCTCTCTTTCCTCTCTCTCATCTATATCTATCATCTTTCATCTAGCTATCTAATCTATATATATCTAAGTAATCCATGTAACTATATTTGTATGTATGTATGAGATATGTATCATCTATCTGAGGAGATTTATTTTAGGCATTGGCTCGTGATTAAGGAGCCTGTGAAGCCACATGGTCTAATATCTGCAAGCTGGAAACTTCCAGAAGATGGTGATATAAGTCAGTCCAAGTCTGAAGGCCTGAAAATTGTGGGGCTAAAGGTGTAATCCTGGAGTGGATCTAAAAGCTTGAGAACCAGGAGTTCCAATGTCTCATGGTAGGAGAAGATAGATGTTACAACTGAAGGAACGAAAGAGAAAATTGCCCTCCCTCTACCTTTTTTTGCTCTATTTAGGACCTCAACAAATTGGTTGACACCCACCCAAATCTGTGAACTGCTTTTTCTGTTCAATTCAAATACTAATGTCTTTGAGAAACACCCTTGAAGACACATCCAGAAATAATATTTTACTAATTCTGGGCATGCCTTAGCTCAGTCAAGTTGACATATAAATTGACTGTCACATGAACTTATATTCTGTCACATTCACTTCAAATAGGAATACAAGACTTCCCTTAGACTAGTGGTTCTCAAATGTTGGTGTATTTCAGAATCACCTGGAGGGTCTATTAAAATAAGTTGCTGGACACCATCCACAGACTTACTTTTCAATATACCTCAGGTAGGGCTTGAAATGTATGTCTAGAAATTTCCTTCATGTTTTCATTTTGCTCAATCTACTTTGAGAATCACTGCTGATTTTTGAAAGCTACTATCATTGTTAATAACTAGTTTCACAGTAGCCACTAGAGGGCAATGGAACCACAGACAAAAAACCTAAATAAGGGACCAGGAAAAAGACTAATTATAATAAAATCAAAATCAAAATCAACAAGTAACTATAAACCAGAGACACACAATGGGAGGTGGGGCAGGAGGGTGAAGGGAGTAGGATCAAAACAAGGG